AACCCTATTAGTGGCAGGCTCCTGGCTACCCCATATTAGTGGCAGGGGGGGGGGCTGTTTACGACCCCCCCCCCTTGATATCTCGAGATCTAACCGGCCGATTTTCAAAATTCAAACGGCATTCGATTTGGCTCAACGAGATCTACATTTCTAAAAAAATAAAATTAAAAAATGTCAATAGGGGGTAGAGGGGGGTAAAAACGGTTAAATTGCAGATACATTTTAGACTGTTTATCACGGCCAGGTTTCTGAACCAATCTCAACGCAACTTTTGCCGATCGATAGAGAATGAACCAGGAATTCACATGGATCCTAAAAATATGCATTTTCAAAAATCATAGGCGGATACAGATCATTGAGATTGGGGGTACACAAAAAGTATAGTAAATAAGGTTTTTGTTGGTACTGTTTCTAAAAAGGGTGGCAATGGTCTTGTCATGTTACAATTTTCTTATGAGAGAACGACTAAAATTGTATTGGTCATGCATAGGCGGTGTCAGGGCACTTATGTTGGGAGGTAAAAAATAACCCCCCTTTTTGGACGCCTGGATCCGCCTATTATAGCAAAAACGTGTCAAAAGAGGATGCACAATAACTTTGTATATGTTATCACATGATACCCTTCATTCACTGTCCGTAAAACTGGTGCAGAATCGTGATCTTCGCCCAAATGACTCGCTTCACGAATAGGACCCCCAATTCCCAGTGCTCTGGAGCCGCCCCTGGTAAAGTTATGAACTTGAAATTTTCAGGGAATGTGCCCAATTTAGTTTTAGGAAAAGTCAGAAAATTTCAGCATCGTAGCTTAAGCGGTTTCGGAGATATTCCCGAAAAACCTGAGGGGTGGATAAAAACAACCCCCTGCCACTAATAGGGTTAAAACCCGCGAGACCTGTACGTATCCTATAATGCTCAAATTGTAGGAGCTTCATTGTCAACGGCATTACTTCAATTACGGAAGCAGTAGCCGAGATATAATTAAATCATTATTCAAATAATTCTTTAAAAAATGTATGGCAATGCCTTAACAGCAAATAAATGCAATGCAAATGATAAGTAGAAGAAACACTTTATTCACTCGATTTTCTGAGCGCGAGAATGCCCACGCTGTAATTTATTTGGTCAGGAATCCACTTTTCAGGAGAATTCTTCAAGCATGTTGGTGTTTTCCATAGTTAGCTATCACGTTTTCCATAAATACTTTAGGTATTCATTACACATATGTGTGTCTCTAAAAGAAAAAAAAATACCCCATAAAAAGTAAAACACATAACTTTTGCTATTCACAAAAAGTAGGTACGCAAAATTTCCAATAGCGACGGCGACAAGGCATTGATCAATCACGTTGAGTGTTTCCTGCTGGCGTTGATTTGTACCGTGGGCAAAATGGCGTGAAAAGAATTGCCGTACTATTCTCTTTATAAGATTGCGTGCATAGGGTGCCGTAAATAGAGTGACGTGGAATGATAGTACGGCATTTGGTAGCACACCCTTTATAAGATGGGCCCAGGGGCCGTATTCACGTCGATCATTGTCGTAAGAATTTTCTTACGGATGACCTACCTCTTAAAGTGACCATCCCACCGTAGCATTAGTTTTGAGTTGAGATAGCCAAATTGGTGGCCATGGCCTGAAAATACCGGTTTGGACTTTAGGCACTCACAGCATCAAAAAATGATTTACTTCGGAGATATGGAATTTCAAACTTGCAGTTTTCGGATTCTAAGGGGCTAATGCATTGGAATGCCCCCTTAGAATTTGTGACGTCTGCGGAGATCTAACGATTTTTAAATCTTAGACTAAAACCATCGTTAAAGGAAGACTGCCACCTTCAAAAAGTTTTCTCAGATCGGCCTATGATTTATTCCCTGGACAAAACAAAATTTTAGAATTCACCTGACAAAGTATCATCACGTGAATCGCGAAAAAATGTCGATTATCATACAATTATCAATCGGTTAATGTCTAGCGACAATGTTTACACATCACTAGACTTCAAGGTCATAAGATTATTACATTTTATTTGAAAAAGTAAGGTATTTTATGATTTACTAATATATGATTTCATAAGAAATTGGCCATGTTTAATTTATTTTGCATTTAAGTTCGTAAAACATTTTTAAAAATCATGGCTCATTTGGAATGGGTCTGGCCCATGTTAAACCCCATTTCCCACACTTTTTTGGAAAAAATGAACTACTGAATATATAAGTTTAACTTTTATTTTGACACTCCAAAATTCTTCTCTGATCTCGAAACAATCAAAGTTTTGACATATATTTACCAAAAGATAAGAAAATCCGTGTTTCAAAGTTATCGATAAACAGTAGAGATGTCGGTTTTCTTGGACTAAAAAAATGGCATCAAACTGAACTTTGGTCTCCGATTTCTCGCAAACGGGTTCGAATTTCGGAAAACCGACTTCAGTCTGGGACATAGGTGGCTCAGCTCTAGTGAAAACCGTTTTGTGGAAAAAAGGTGGCAGTCTACCTTTAACATGTGGTGGTATAGGTACACTGCTTTGCGCGCAACGTCTGCCGCATTTCCAGGCTGCCAAATTATTGCTTCCAAATAAGTCGCTAGGAACAGCGGAGATCCCAAAAAGTAAACAAAAGTTAAAGGTAGTGAGCCAGCTTTCCTGGACCGTATGGAGTTAATGGCCCAGATAAGGAGAACCGGATTTTTAGAACTTATCCATACCTTCAAAACTCATGGAAACGTCTTAAATTCTTCAAATTTTGAGTACCCCAGTGCGCAATTCGCCCCGACGGGTTGTCGGTCGTACCCCAACCACATTTCACACCACTATGAACAATAAATGCACATACTGAAATCGCTATTACCGATATGCTCATCCAATCAAGTTTCGATAAACCCGTTCATCATCATCTCCTGCGGTTTCGAACAAGCCTGTTAGGTGGTGCGGTAGACCGCGTCCAAAGCCAGGGCCCCGGTAACGTGAGGTAGCCGAGTCGGGGCAGCGTGCGCTGACCCAAGCCGGGGCCGCGCGTCCTCCCGGTGTCATGTGATAGCCTGGGGCTGCCCGTGGGGATGCGGTAGACCGCGCCCAAAGCTGCGGCCCCGGCTTGGGTCAGCGCACGCTGCCCCGACTCGGCTACCTCACGTTACCGGGGCCCTGGCTTTGGGCGCGGCTTCTGCTCATACTTTGTGGTGCGGTGGTGGTGCGTCGGGCCGCGCGCTCTGACTTCGGCCAAGAAAAATGCGTCAGCTGATCATTGTCATTTCTGCCACTTGCGTGTAGTGAAATGGGGTCATAACTTAACCCTATTCCTGGCGGGCTCCGCCGGGACAAGAAACTGGCGGGGGGGGGGCCGATTCGGCCCCCCCCCCTGAGATCTCGAGAACGAAGCAAGATAGCGACAAGCGGTAAACGGCATCGGATACGCACGGTCAAGATCTACAATTTTTACTAAGGTCATTTTCAGGTCAGGTCAAAGATGACGTCACAGGGGTCGAAAAAGTCAAATTGGCGGCGCTAGATATGGAGAGAGTTTTTCTCGAATAACTTTCGAATTAGTCAAGATAGGAACAAACTAAGAGCATCATCGTGATCCTCTCGTCAATCCGCATCGAATGATATATATGTTGACCTCGAAAGGTCAAGGTCAAAGGTTGACCTCAGGTCACGTGACCTCGAGGTCATCATGTATATCATTCGATGCGTCTTGACGAGCTGAACACAATGAGACCATCCACGCGTCTGTATCTTGTTCCTGTACGGAGTTATTGGCCAAAAACCTTTGGTGACCTTTGATGACGTCACATGACCTCACAGCTGCCCAACAGCAAAACAGACCTCAAGGTAGTGAAGGTTGATCGTATATGAAGTCATGTATGGTATATGGGGCCATTCCGACCCGTTTTAGTGGTAAAAACAGGGAGTTGATTTTTCCCCCATTGACTTATAATGGGGAGGTCGCGAAACTGACCTGACCTTAGGTCACCGATATCAAAATTCCGAGATATACAAATTGCACATACTGGTACCCTAACTAAAGCCTGAAGAGAAGAAATTGATCGGTCAAAAACTCTAGCTCTGGCGTGATTGCAAACTTTTCTGAGGTAGGGTCACCAAACCGCCTCTGGTGACCTGACCTGAGGTCAGATCAACTCAAAATTTTCAGACATGTTGCGTAGAAGCCTTTAAGGAAAAGTCAGAAAATTTGAGCTTCCTAGCTCAACGCGTTTGGGAGAAATAACCAAAAAACCTCAGGGGGGGGGGGGGGCTCCTGAGGCCCCCCCCCCCGCCAGGAATAGGGTGAAGAGACGGCTTTTTCATATCAATTATTTTACATAAAATCATATTTCAAACCATAAATAATGTTCGACAGCCAAATAAAAGAAACAATACCAATACAGGCTTACAGTTTAAGGCTCGACATTGTGTTGTCTACGATTAGACAGCTGATAACTCATTCCCGTACGTCGTAACTCTATAATGACCTTTGCTTATTGTCACATGTGCGCCGCATTCGCGATTGTTGCCGACGCCTGTTTGCAGGTCAGCCCACTACAGTTGTTATGGATATCGAAAAACCGATAAACTTTTAGGCGAAAAAGGCACTATTCCAGGCCCATTTTTGATTTTTTTTGCGATATTAGGTAAAAACAGAAGCTTCTTATCCTAGGAAAAATAAAATGGGAAATCTTTCAAAGGTGGCACACTACCTTTAAAGCCTAATGTCTTGAAAAACAGTGAATATTTTTCGGTGAAATTTGGTATTCATTTTTTATCTTTCCCAGCCAAGGGACATCACTTTTATGCCAATTCATTAACTTTTTTGAAGGTGGGAGGGTCCCATTAAGCAAATTTTTTAATCACGTGAGCTTCGTCGATAAAAACTTAAGAAGTGTCGACGTGAATACCAAATACTACTTACAAAAGAAAATCGACTTACGAAGTCGACGTGAATACGGCCCCAGGCCCAGACAGAGATATCTGCCACTCGGACGTCGCCCACCACTCGGATGTCACCTACCACGCCTACGACGTTGCTCACGCCGATGACGGAGATGAGCATGCTGGCGTCCTCGTCCGACGCGCCCCTGCTGATGGCGTCGTCGGCCAGGTAGACGTAGGGCACGTCGTAGAACATGTACAAGACGAAGTTGGACAGTGCGAACAGCACGAAGCCGGGCAGTCGGAAGAAGGCGGGGTCAACCATCTTGCGCAGGGTGCCGCAGACGCCGCCCAGGTAGCTGCAGTAGTGCTCGCCATCTCCACCGGCCGCGGCGGTGACCGTCGAGTAAATGTCCGGACATGAGGCGGCCCTCGGTCGGTAGCGTTGGATGTTCAGCATGGCGCCGCGGTACGTAGTCGACTGGCGCCGCAGTCTGCGGCTGCGCAGATGGGCCGCCGACGGCGCCGAGTCGCAGCTCAGCGGCGGCAGTAGGTGACGCAGCCGCCGGTCGCCACCGGATTTACCCGCCAGCACAGCCGGACTCTCTGCATCCAGCAGGCCGTGCCAACCCTGCAGCTCGTCGCCTTCAGGGACACCCTCGCCGGTTGGCGAGCTCGTGTTGATGCCGCCGCCGTCTGCCGGGAGTCTCTGATAGGTGGTGAGGCCGGCCGGCCGTTCTGTCAGCAGCTGCGGATACAGACGGCTCACCAGCTCACGTAGGCTCCGGTTGGACTCGATCGTGTTGAGCACCTCCGGAGAGAGGTCGCCGTCGGCCAGCCATGTGGGCAGCTGCAGCGCCGAGCTGTGCAGCCGCTCTAGCTGCTCAGCGGCCGGCGGCCGAGCGGCCAGCGCGCCCCGCAGCCGCTCCACGTCCGGCAGCGAGTCCGAGTCGGCCGTCCAGCGCTCCGAGTCCCCGTCCGCCGAGAGCGTGCACTGACTGCAGCGCTCTCGGCGGCTGCGCTTAGTCCAGTCGAGGTCCCGCATCAGCATACCGCAGACGGCCACGTTGAGCAGAATAGCGGAGAGGACGAGCAGCGCACCGCGCCAGCCGTACTCCTGCAGCAGGTGCTCCACCAGCGGCGGAAACAGAAACGTGCCCACGCCCGTGCCACACACGCTGATACCGGTGGCCAAAGAGCGGCGCTGCTCGAAATAGTAGGCCACAATCACCACGGCCGCCACGTAGCACACGGACAGGCCGATGCCGGGCAGGATGCTGAAGGTCACAAAGAGAAGCTCCATCGAGTTGGCGAAGTAGCTGAGCAGGAAGCCGGCGGAGGCCAGCAGCGAGCCGGCCACGGTGCACCGCCTGCAGCCGAACCTGTCCACCAGCGAGGAGGCCAGCGGGCCGAGCAGCAGCGGCAGCGCCAGGAAAATGCTACCCAGCCAGGCCGTCGTGCCCTTGGACGCCCCGAACGAGCGCAGGAACTCGACGAAAAACACACCGAACGAGAAGCCGATTCCGTCGGCGATCATGTTGACAACGAAGGAAGCGGCCACCACTACCCAGCCCCATCCGCCGTCCGGCGCGTGCCGCTCCAGAGTCAGTGAGTCGTCGTCCGGCGAGGACACGTCGCTGAAGCGCGACGAGCAGGAGGACGCCGTTCTGCGACGCTCCCGCTCGGTGCGGCCCGACGATGAATGAGTGACCTGAAACCGGACCTGCGGCGAGATGGCCGGGCTCGTGCAGTGCAGCGACGACGGCACCGCCGCCGTGCCCCGGCCGCCCGCAGTCAGAGAGGCCGTGTGGGCGGTGACGGCGGGAGGCGCTGTCTGGCGCTCCATGCTCGCGGTCACAGGGAAGGCGCTGGCTGCCGCTCAGAGGCTGCTGGCAGTCGGTACTGGCAGCACCTTCCGCATACGCTACCGGTCCGGTCCGCTCTACTTCTCAGCGTCACGGGTACGCCGCCGCCGCCGGGGCGACCTGTCCCAGCAGCCTTCAATATGTCTCCGACCAACACATTCCAGCACAAATCGCCGCTCCACACTCTCGGCTCAAAAGATTAGTTTGAGTGCACTGTGCAGCGCTGCTGCCCACGCTCTCGGACGCCGAAGCACGCCATGCCCCTGTGCCTTGTACAGCAGCTGCTCCAGACGCATAGTACACCCTCAAATATTACAGAAAACGGTAAGAGGTGTGGTACTCCAGAAGAAGATAGTATTTTAAGCTTAACTGCCCGATCTACAGAATTAAGCGCAGCATTGCAATTCATGTACATGCACTAGGCACTATAGAATTTTCGCCACTTTCAATAAAGTTGGGGTAGAGTTCATTCTGATACACGATCTTCCATATGCTAAGGCTAAGGGTTGAGTCAGCTGGCGGTGTCCGCAGTTTCTGCTCCAGCGCAGACGCTTACTGGCGCACCAACTGGCCTGAATGACGTCGCTTGGGGGTCGAATCAGGCGTTGATGTACAAAGCCGCAGTCGCGCACTTCGAGCGTCCGCCGGCGTGTCACCATACTCGGGTCAGAGCATCGGCTCCAGTGTCTGCAACACAACCGAAAACAAGCCGCTCAGTGTATCGCGCGCGCTGCCAAACTGGAGATGTTCCAAGACAGATTATAACATCACACCCTAGCCTGAAGTTCCTTAACCTGCGCCCCATTGGACTATTCCCGCACCCTACCACCCGTTTGGGGGGGGGGGCGTTTGCCCCCTTCCACCCTAAGATCTCGGAGAGCTACCGACCGATTTTCAAAATTCAAACGGCGTTCGATAGCCCCACCGGGCAACTACCACGTGATCAAAATTCATTGACCCAGGTGCAGCCGATGACGTCAAAGGTCAGGGCAAAGGTTGCATTTTGGACCGTTTGTAGGCCTTCTTTCTAAGAAATGTGTTCATATAGCATCGAGTAAAAGATATGCCGTCGAAAATCAAATCATCGATCGAGCAATGGTTGTCTAATACTTTGATTGACAAATGAGGTCGCTGATAGGGGAGAGTGGGGTAAGATGTGGGGTAAGTGGGGTAAGTGGGGTAAGGGTGGGACAGACGCCCCACCCCCTCTAACAGCGAAACGAAAAATATTCATCTAAATTTATGGTTTCCGCCTTTTCTGCTCATTTTTGCCGAGCGTATGACAACATTAGCCATTTACCCGTTAGCCGGTACCCGTTTTTTTTTTCTCAGGTCAACCGGTGACCTCTGAGGTCAGGTCACGTGACCCAAAGCACGTGTTCAGTTTTTCATAAATAACTCCGCAAAAATGGCCAAAGAGCCGCGATTTTGACAGCATCGTGTTCGCCTTTTTCAGGTGCGTCGAATGGTATACTTTTTTGTCAGGGTGAGGTCAACTTGAGGTGTTGACCTCTGCTCAAGATCAAGTCCGTGCCCCAGGTCACGAAGCTTGTCGAAGGAGGTCATGTTGCATATCATTCGATTCGGCAAGTCTTCCTGAGTCCATTGGTGGCTTCCCCAACTCGCTAGCTCAAATTGATCGGGAGTTGTTCACGAAAAAAGTCTTACGACCCAAGTGACGTGATAAATGACGTCACGCAAGGTCAATAATGCAAAAGTGAAAACTTGCAAGGAGTAAATGGAATTACGATTCCGACGTGCTTGAAATAGTTTGAGATCGTGCCTGGCGCCAAAATAGCAGATTTCATATTTCCCGGTTACTTGGTCACGTGACCACGGTACCACCTGACCTCATGTGACTTTTAGGGAAAATCCGAGATATAAGTTGTGAGACCTCAGAAGGATATTTAAACCTGTAAGTTTCATCTCCCTGTGAAAATTCCCCTGGCACTGAGGGCGTTGCAATGTTGTGACACCTGAGGACCGTGCAGAGGTTTATTATGACGTCATAGGGTTGTGACCTGACCGGACCTGAAAATGCGATTAGTGTCACAATATGCGGCTTGGATCAAAGGTCAGCTATGCCAAGTTTCAGCTCCATATCGCTGGCGTGCTTGAAGCTATCGCCGAAAAAAAAAACGGGAAGGGGCGACATATTTCAAACTGGGCCAAAGTTGCCTGATTTCGATCTTTAAGTGTGTGGCAACATTGTCCACCTATACCAATTTTCATTTTAAAGAAAAGAATTACCACTCTGAATTTTTGTGTAACCTGAGCTTACTTTGAACCACTACAAGTTGGAAACCACAAGGTCACTAATGGCGCACCCGTTTACCGTCCTCACTGGATCCTAGCCAACCCTGATTTTCCCTTAATTTTTCATGGGTTGTTTTAACCCTCGCCCATGTAGGGGGGGGGTTGGTGCAACCCCCCCCTGAAGTTTTTCGGAAATAGTGCAAAAACGGCGGCGCACAGCGCCGCCAAATTTTGGGTACCTTATGGGGCAGACCTTGCGCATCTTTTGATAAAAAAATTGACCGGGTCATGTCAGGTCACGGAGTTATGACGTCACAAAGGGAACAGCCTCCGGCCGGATTTTCACAAACTGAGTGCCAACGCCCGAGGTTTCCTGCCGGTGGTACGGACATCGGTTGATGGATCGTGATGAAACTTCCCATGCATGTTGGGGCAAGTATTGGCTATCATATGGTATAAGAAACTTGACCGGGTCAGGTCAGGTCACGGAGCTATGACGTCACAAGAGGAACAGCGTCCGGTACTATTTTTGAAAAGCGCCCGAACCACTATTTTGCTAATTCTTGTCACCTCAATGGGAATATGCAGCAATATTAGCTTCTATAGGGAGCAAATGGACATCCCAAATCCAAAAATACAATCAGATTTCAAAAATTTAAATTTTGATTTTTCGAATTTCTGCCGCCGACTGTGACCTTGCCGACTTCCGGCGCTCCCAACGCGCCATTTTTAGAGCTAGGGAAACGAAATACATACCAAACGATAGAGAATTGATCAAGGAACACGATAGTGAAAGTTTCAAGTCGATATCTTCCACCGTTTTGCCGCAATCGCCGCGGAAAATTTGAAAAAGTATATTTTTCCGAAAATTTGACCTTTGACCGGTCAAAAGTAGGTCAAATGTTGACCTAGGACCAAAAAATATACCCCCAATCGCGAGATCTCGGCGAGAGCAATCCGTTGGTCTTTTCCGCTAAGCTCTACGACGCTCCGTTTTCAAACGCCAAGGGGGGGTCGCACCAACCCCCCCCTGCATGGGCGAAGGTGGCAGATCGCCGTTTACGGGCGAGGGTTAAAACCCCATAGCCCTTTAACTTGGTCTTAGGAACAACTCAGGGCTGCTCCCAAAGGTAACCGATGAACAGTCTTACTAAACCATAACAACAACTTTTCTGTACTAGGTAGGAGTGTAAAAAGCTACAGCAAAACAGAGTCTGTTTCCAGTGGTGGGCCAAAGTTGCCCTTTGTGACCAAAGTTGCATTCCACTGGAGGCTGCATTCCGGTTTTTCAAAACCTTTTTTTTCTTAATCAGAAAATATATTTTTGTAATTGTAAATAAATATTTTTCAAAATTTTCAAAATTTTGAAAATTCCAGAAAGCAGTTTGATAGCTACGTATATGTGTAGTACACTCATGTAAAAAAAAATTAGATCTAGCTTTAAAACTGAGCTCTTGAGAGCGTTTCCCGTAATTCAATATTTTGCATCAAAATCGGCCGACATGACGTCACTCTGACGTCATTTCCGACCAAACTATGGTAGCTAGAAAGTTGAAAATTAAACACAAGGTGTCAAATTGATGCCGCTGAAGGTACCGCAAGTTTCGTGTTGATCCGTCAAACGATTAAGAAGATATTGCCAGCCCCCCCCCCTCATGCGCGGGTTAAAAGTTACCCTAAGTAAGGTAGAAGTCGCACGTGAGCAGGTTTGATAAGAAGGCGGTGTCCCAAAGTCATATTTTGGTTTGGGTGTTGGAAGGGGATATTCCTCTGCAAAGAGGGCCGAGAGTGGAAAATTGCAAGTCGGACAGGCACAAAAAAGTGGAGAACAGGGATCATCTAGTTATTTATCTGTGAATATTGGAGGATGTGGGAGCCACTTTATAAGATGATTGAATGCAATTTGAAGGTAGGTAGGTAAAAGCCAGCCAGCAAATATACACACATATGCCCCTTTATTGGTAAAATCTTGAGTAAAAATTTGCTAAGGAAAACTTGGAATCAGTGAAAAATTACCTCTATTTGGATGTCACTTCCCACCCAAACTGGCAATTGTTGGGACACTGAGTCAGAGAATGGTTCTCTACAGTCCATTGAGCCTCTAAACTCTCCCATTATGTGAATGTAAGGTAAGGTAATATAGGGCAACTTAATAATATAGGGTCCTAAGATTCCTAAGATTATCATGTTGGCTAGGTGGCTGTGCATTAGCAGACCCCTTCGTCAGCTGACTTGACTCAGAAACTAGCAGGTCGTGGTGTCTGGGTCCTGTGATCGGTAATTGCTGCTCACATACATGGCTCTGTGACACAGGATCAAGCTGAAAAGGAAGAAAGCTAGTCAAGGCAATAATGCGATGCTGCTACACTAGCATTGTACCCCTATGTCATAAAATTGATTAAAAATTGTGTTGGGTTAGGTCAGTCTTAGTCTGACAAGAACGTCTCAACCCCCTAGGAGGTTGAGACGCAGAGGAGAAAAAGAGGATTCGGATGGAATCGAGAGCAGAGGCCAGTTTTACCAACAAAAAAAAAAAATAGCCGCCTGCCGGATTTTTTTGTTTTGTTTTGTTTGTTTGTTAAAGGGACTATCCCACCTTCTAAAATGTTGTTAAAACCAGTTAAATTGTGCCCGACTTTATAGATTGGATGACCAGGAACACGGTTCTGGCATTTATTTTTCATTAAACATCTTAGGCTTCCCATATTCCAAACACAAACTTTCAAATATGTGACGTCACAGCCCAAAATTACCTCCTTCCCCAGGCCACATTACTGTCATAAAGCTGATTCTTTTTACTCTGTAGGCACCACAACAAAGTTCAGACCAAGTTTTAAGCGATTTTCAACGAACAAACCCATTTAAATCAGAATGACTAAACGAGGTGACGTCACACTAACGGTCGCTCCATGTTGAAGATAGGGCCTTGTACAAGGCCCATTTTCAAATGAAGGGAACGAATTTCTTCAACACCAAGAGGCCGCGGGGGTTGCAACCTAGATAGATAGTGGTTTCTGAACCTCGCCGCAAACTTGGCTATCTCAACTCAAACCCCATGTTAAAGGTGGGATAGTCCCTTTAAAGACCGCTTCACATGCAGAGCATAAGCGCACTGGACAGGTAGACGGATAGGGCTTTACGGTTTAGCTCCCTATGTGAAGCAGTCTTTCACAAAAAAATCCCGCAGGCGGCTATTTTTCTATTGGTAAAACTGGTCTCAGATGCACAAAATGAATCTAGGTATTGCGTTTATAAATAAAGACGGGGTAGACTACATACTTCGTAGGATTGGTAATTGAGACAAGACAAATCAATAAAAAACATAAACCAGACAGCTGGAACACTCCCAACCAGGGGCGCGGGAACTACTTTCCGACTGGGGGGGGGGGCACACCATAATAGAGGTCAACCTAGGGTACCCCCAAATCTAG